GATGCCAGGACATGGTTAAACCCTGGTTCATGATGTGTGTGTGGCTTTTCTTGTTGGTAACTATATGAAGCTGATAATTGTAAGAAGGTATTATTATTGCCAATTCGTTTATGAAATGTAATATTCCCTCCTTTCAAGTCAACATTGTGAGCTTGCTATCATTTAGGTTGAGTTTTTTCCGTTGTTTTGTGTGTGTTGTGGTATGGGATGGACTGGTTGGTGTGCGTATACTTGGCTTCCTTTGCTTCTCCCTGGCTGCATTCTGGGTTGGGTTTGCATGGGAATGGATCAATAGGTTGCACTAACAACAATTATGCATCAAGAGAAAAGTGCAAAAAGTGCGGGCAACCAAAGGAGGTAGCAGCAATGCCAGCAGTTGCCATGCCTGGGGCTTCACTCCCAACTTATTCAAATTATTTTGCCAGGTCCCGAGGAGGACTGGAACAAAATATGAATCTTGGACTTGGATTGATGGGCAGTGATGCTTTCAAGCAATCACTTCCTTTGAACTCCTCCTGGTCTTTCGGGGAGGCTGGCAACTATGAAATTCAGGCTTCTGTCTGGTCCTTGGGTGCAAACTCCAACAATCCTGGACATCCATTTGCAAATCCTATCAGTCAGTATCCTTCAGTTCCAAAAGGATGGCGCAATGGCGATTGGATATGCCACTGTGGCTTTCACAATTACTCATCTCGTTCACAGGTATGGTTGTACCATGTAGATATTTCCTGAATGTACTCATTTCTTCTAATTTTGACTGAAGGAAGATTTTTCTTTTTGGGGACAAGTCTGATTTGATCTGAATTTTCTTTGCAGTGTAAAAAGTGTAATGCTTCTATGACACCAGGTACCTTACATTTTGGTTGGCTTCTTCTCGCTCCTATTGTTCTGCTCCTTGTGATTTGCAATGCTCTGAATTACTCTGTCATTTAGCTAATAACTTTATCAAGTGCACAGAGAGATTACCATTTGGGTGAATTTTCATGGTTACTTTTAATTTTTGTATGTGCTTTTTTTCACCTGTAAACAGTAGTGTTATGTCCCGAATCTTCATCATTTTCTTTCCTTATCCATGTCTGATATATTGCTGCCCTTTCCTCGGTTTTTGTTGAAAGCCCTTGGAATGAAGCGATTGGCATCTGATGATCTTGTCCATGGGTGGGATAACAAGAGATTGAATGCAGGAACTGTGAGTTTTTTTTCCTAATATTAGTAATTTCACTAATATTTTTGGTTATTATATTCTGATTTTTATTATTATTTACCTTATGTGAAAAAGCAGACAACCGGGCTCCAGCAATCATATCCAGCATTTGATCAAATGCTTGGAACCGGTTCTGAACCTAGAACTGGAGCATATTCGTCTTTTGGAAGTTCAGTTGCGGCTTCAAATATACAAGTCCAGATTCCACATCAAGCTGCAACACCTGCTCTTCTTGGAAAGGGGTAGGTTTTTGCTGAGATTGCTAGTGTTGCAGTTTATGTAAATATGTCAATCGAAGATTGTGCTTTCATTGTGCTAACCTCTCAAAGTATATGGGTATATTTGACAATGTCATAGGAGATGCTTACCCGAGATGTCTTTTGACTTTATACTCAGCAGAGCAAAGCAATGGCGGCAGGGTGATTGGATGTGCACAAATTGCAATAATCATAATTATGCATCTCGAGCAGAGTGCAATAGGTTAGTTTCTAATTCAGTCTAAATATCTCGTGGTTGGTATGCTTTGTATATCTTTTGCATGTTTTCGTTGCAAGTTACCGTGTCTGCAATGTCTGCTTGCAAACAAGTCATTCTGTTCTTTTACCCTAATTTACCATGCATGTAATCCTCTACCTTTTGATCTAGGATTCCCCAAACATGTCTGGAAGCCGGCTTCTTCTTCTCCATCTGTATAAGGAATTATAATTTGATAGTATATAAGCATGTCAATCTACAATAATAAATGATAATCTGTGTAAGGGCAAGTGCACGGTTAATACTTTTTTTGGCTACCCAACTGGATGTGTATCTTTGCAACCGAATGTCAGTAAGTATCAATTCTTGCTTCAGAAACTCAAGCAGGAACAAGGCATCGGACACAGATTTGACATCAAAGATTTACTAAAAGCACAATTATTTAGCGAATGTGTCTCGAGTTGCACATTTGAGTCCAAGAGAATTTCCAGTGGGCTCGTTCCTTCAGCTATCTTTATGTCATGAACTGGATATTTGCTATGTTACCAAGTTCAAAGAAATATACTAAGGCGGTTTTATGTAGTTTATTGATAAAAGTTGATTGTATAATCTGTATCAATTGTAAGTTTGTAACTTGTAACCACACTATATGCAAATTGTTGTATTCTTTCTTTTTTAGACTTGATAAAAGCTGCTATATTTTTTCCCAAAATAATATGTTCCCCCACCCTCAGTGCCAATCCTAGGTCCGCCACTGTGTTCAAGGTCAGTAGCCAAAGTTCGAAAAACTTTTGTAAGCTGAAACAAAGTGAATGGACCCACATTTATGTTTTAAATGCTTCCTCTCCCCTGGGAGGGATCGAGAATGCTGTGGAATATTAAATAGTGAAAATGCTAACATGCTACTCATGAAAAATGTCAATATGCTGATATGCTGTTCCTATAAGAGTTTTGCTGGTTGTTAAGATTGAACTGCTTTAACTTCTCTCTCTTAGCTTTTATATTTTTTGTTCTGGCTGGATGGTCAAGTCTGCAAAAGGCCGGTATCTCTGATCAAGCTCGACCTAGACAGATGGTTTTCTTTCTTCATTTCTTTCTTGCTATCTTTGTTTCCCTTGTTGGTTTTCTCGATCTTTGCTTCTGGGGAACAATATAGTGGCGCAATGACTACCGTTTCTTTCTTGGACCAGCTCGTTCTGTCTTTAAAAAGTTCATGTTCTGTTTTGCATATGGGTCATTGGCTGACTGTCGGAAGGCTTTGTCTCTCCAGGTGTAAGACGCAAAGAACCGTACTTTCCCAACCTGTCAATGTCGTTTAATTGCAGGTTCAGCAAGGCTCCCGAACAATAGGAGATTTTGTATCCGGCGGTTGAGGTTTCTTCGCAATTTTTCTCTCTGTACCGTGCCAAAAGAGAAGTGAGAGATAAAGACAGGCTTGCTGTATTTTTTTTGTTCGTTAGTTTCTCGTCATGGAAACTAGCTGGATATTCGATGGATTCCATTTGGACAGACAACGCTCGTGTAATGCTGTTTGATTGAGGACTGCTTTGGCTCTTTCGTCTGGTTTTTCGTTTTTGGTCTCAAAAGATGATTTGTGAATTACAGAATACAGATTGTCCGTCAATTGAATCATGATATCTGTATCTCCTTTCACTGATGTTTTACGAATGTCCGTTTTCCAGCAAATGTGCTACCGGCAGCCTTGGAAGTCATTAACTTTAGTGACATGCTGATCTTCGCTGCCCTTGGTGTCGAGTCGAAGGTATCATACTAATGAACACTGGGCTTTGGAGATTTGTGCGTGGTTATACACATAGAAGCGCGTTCTCGTGCTCCTGTGAGATGTTCTGTTTCGATTGCATCCCGGTGGTGGTTTTCTTCCTCTATGCATCGACACCAATTTGCTGATGATCCGCATCGTAATGGCTCAGATCCGGGGACAGCGACGGCCTAAGTGCAGTCCCTACGTCGTGCTTTGACATCTTTTCTGGTCTCTTTCGATCACTTATTCCTCTGCCGATGCAACAGCAACAGGTATGTTGATACCAAACATTGGCGTGAGCGTGACTGTGTGAATCGATCGGCAAATCTCCATTTTGACGTCCAGTACCAGGAGAGCATCACATTGCAGGACTAAGCAATGACTGCGCTTTGAAGGATTCGATCCTTATGAAATGGCCTTCTTTTTTTCATTTATCAATTTATTCTTTCTAATACCACGGAAAACATAATTTGAATTTTCAGCGAGCACAAGACGCTCAACCTCTATGCGGAAACATTTGGACATGGTTCTTCTTCATTAGATTTTCGAAATTCGAACGACATTTTACATTTAGATGGCAATTTAAAAACGTTGTCACAATATAAGGTCTTTTGTAAAGAGAAGTACCGCAGCCCGTTTAATCATCAAATTAGGACAATTCCAATTCGAGGCATCGACAACTCATTCCGACTGACGATCCACCAACTACCATGTCATGTACTTTCCTATCTTTATTTATATCGTGACTCGAAATTGACCGGTTCATTTTCCACTTTTGGGACCTAAACTTCTCCTGTCTTCACTCTTTTCTGCCCAAGTCCCTTGGTCAAGATTCACTTCCCCCGACCTCATCCAATTCTAACCATCCTTTACCCAACTCTTTTCCCTTTAGCGAACACAAAGTTAGTTGAGCGATATCCATGCATACCGAATTACCGATACAAAATTCGCCGTACGAATGAATATCACGTGCACAAACTTGTTGTGTACAGGTTATCAGGAAAATCTCCTGGAAGACTTGATAATTTTTTTTTTTATACATTTCGATGGAGATCTTAATATATAGGACTTCACTGATAGACTAAAATTACTCCGGCATTTCAGGTTAACTCCTCTACTGTACAACCACGTACCTTGTGGCTTAGAACACGTGCGGAGTCGGTTAGACTTATTTTCCACGTTCCGTGATTATGATGAAATTGCGTAGCATAGTCAGGAGTAATTAAGAAGATCGGATGTTAAAATTTTGCTCGTTTTTTCTCCAACTCAATGCCTCAATTTTGATTCCAAAAAAAATTGACCATCGCCACTTCTCATCGACTAAAAAGGAAAATCTTATATGAAGTCGTCAGCGACCAAAAAAAAAAAAAAGGAATGTGGAAATTGAAGGACTTAATTGTAAAACTTTTTTAGCCGTTGGGGTTTATTTTGGAACCCAACCAAAAGTTCAGGGGCTTTCTCTCGAAATACTCTCGTCCGAGTTCCCTTTCCTATTCGAGACACGAGAAAATAAACAAATCCATCAAATGATTAAGAGGAAATTAAAAATTCTTCGTATTATTTCGTCCGCAAACTCTCTCTCCCTCTCCGCCTCTCTCTCTCTCTCTCGCGGGCTCTCGACGCACCAACCTCCTGCAACCATCGGAATTGCGAGCGCGTGCGCGATCTGCAGGTCCGGCTCCCGCCATGGACGGCGGCGGCGGCGGCGGCGGCCCCGACTCCGACTCGAGCGATCCGTTCCTCCGCAATTACCAGCGGTCCGATCTCCGGATCGCCTCGGAGTTCCTCGCGACCTGGCTTCCGTTCCTCTCCAGAGATCTCTGCCCCGGCTGCACCGAAACCCTCGCCGATCGCATCCGCTCCCTCGACTCAGGTGACCCTCCGTGCGCGTTCCTTCGCTCGCCGAGGAGAATTCAGCAATTCTTTATTGGATGCGAGGTCGAATTCTTTAGTTTTGCTTCGTTCACGGCGAACCGGAATATCTGATGTCGGTTTAGATTTGTGCCGCTGCCTAGGTTTTGTTTGTTTGGGCTGTTTGGTTTCCGATGCTTTGTATTTGCTCCGAAGCTGCAAAATTTGATTCTTTCTTTTATTGTTTCAGTTTCGGTTCGGTGATGGTGCGCTAGATTTTAGCAGTCTATTTACAAACCTCATGCTTTTTATTTTGTTTGGTTACTTCATGCTCACTTTGAAGTTGCTAAATTAGCTTTTTCTGGAATATTTATGTTTCTGTGTTGTGTTGGTGTTTGATGTTTTTCTGACGAGTTGTGATTTACATTGTCGAAGTTGATGGGGATGCAAAATCCGCAAAATCGAAGGAGAATGTGAATCCGCTGTCTCCGGATGTCAAGAGAGAGCAGGGGATGGATGAGAACAACATCGACGACAGGAATTTAGGAGAGAGCGAGGATGACGAGGGCGAGACAAATTCATTGGGGAGCTGGAAGGATGGGGCACAGGGGTGCTTCGATAGCACTCCGGAAGCCTCCACTAGCAGTTTGGCTCATGAATCTCCTGCCGTCGAGGCTCGGAGTTCGCATATGTCTTGGGCGGACATGGCTCAGGAAGATGAGCTTGAAGAGGAAGATGACCAGGAATCCAACAAACAATCTGTTGATATGAATGGGTCAACTGAAGAATTGAGGGTATCTGCCATTTCGGAGAAGCCGAAATTGCCCAGGGAACAAAGAGAGCACATACGGTTTATGAATGTGAAGAGGAAGAAGGATTATATATGTCTAGAGAGGTTTGAGGGAAAGCTCGTGAATATTCTACAGGGACTTGAGCTCCACACTGGTGTTTTCAGTGCTGCAGAGCAGAAGAGAATAATTGACTATGTATATCAGCTAGAGGACATGGGAAAAAGGGGAGAATTGAAAGGTCAGTTTCCCTTTCAATCAAACCGTGCTTAATTTTCCTATTTTGAGCTCTGACACAATTTGCTTTTGTGTTGAGTTGTGTGGTTGGTTATAGATTCACTCTGAGCTTCGATGCAGTTGTTTGCTTCTTATCCTACTGTGCTTCATTTTCTAGCTTACCCATTGGCTTGAGCTTCACTTGAATAAATCAAATGCAGTGTTTTGGTGACATCTATTTCTAGGGAACGATTTACTAAATCAACACATTGTGAAGTCAACATAGCTAAAGACTCGCTTCAAGTAGAAGGCTGGTGAGCATATTAGTGTACTGCATGTTTCTCATTCATTACAGCTATAAAGTTGAAATGTTGGCTTACTCAGTACATTTTTTGAGCCTATGTTTCACATAAGCAGAGTTCTATGTGTGTTCTATGCTTACTGGTTTAGTTATGGACCTCCCTCACACTGGGTGCTGGAAACAATGTGATATAAGCAGGCTTTTATGGTAGGTCTTTATGTAAATATAAACAATTCGTAGAAAATCTACGAATGAGTAAATTCAGTGAAGGTCTTTGATATATGGATGCGTGATTGCCATAGAAAATACAGTAATAGATAAGAAAAAAGGCGCGAAATATTTATATGGCAACCTTCAATTTGTAGGAAGATACTGTTGCTGTTGTTTATAATATATTCTGGAGTTCACTAAACGATGTCTTTGATTTTATCTGCACCTATAAAAATGCTTCAGGTGCTCCCAGAGGTATTTGATCTGTTTCTTATATTTGCATAAAAAAAATTTTTGTGCAAGATTGTCTTGTTTGCAGGAGTCAGGAGGTAGTACTCAACAGTCTGTCTTGTTATCGTTTGAAGATTTGTCTTGTAATAGTTTATGAGTGGAGGAAATAAACAGAGATCATCTTGAGTTTTTCTTCTGTCTCTTGTATGACGTCTGCCAGATTTTGTTATTCTCCCTTTGCTGTTCTTGTTTTTGCACTTAAAGGAACGAGAGTATTTTATGTACCATGTTTTAGCTGTTGCACTTGCCCCTGAGCATAGTTTATAAAGTTCTCTTCATATCTAGTTGTGGAGCTTGCCCTTGTTTTGACCTTCTATGTTGTGGCAAAGTTTCATGCTTGGACCTTGAAGGCAGTGAAGTATGACATCTTCTCATTATTCTTGATCAAGATATTCTTTTTCCCTTTTTCTCCTGGGAGGTCTTTCAAGGACTTCACTGTCGTGTTGATTTGGCATTCTGTCAACTGTTGTATTTGATCACTAGACAAGAATCAAATTCTGTGACACTAATACCTACTTATTTAACACATCAAATGCACTTTTTTTATCTTTGCACCTGCTGATTTTTTTTCATCGTCTCTCGCGTTGTCCATCAACCTTCTTTGTACTCTCGAGTACACCTTGCAATTGCATTGGGTTCGTTTCAACTGTTCATTCCTATCTTAAGTGTAATTTGTTGCCATTCACTTGTAAACTAGACTCTGCATGAAATCTTGTGCCAAACCGAATGCTGTGTTCCTATGTGCAATGTGAAGTTCTATTGGTTTTGCTCAAGATAGAATGCCGTCATGAGCCAATGATCATGCCATTCTTCTAGGAGAGACTTTACATTGCAAACTCCTGAAATCAGAATTGAACCATAAATTGAGAGTGAGATGGTCTTTTAACGCTAATTATCAATTACCAGTGCATCACGTTCACGCTGGCTTGGATGGGTTTCGGGGATCCTTCTCATTAGCATCCTTATTGTGTTGGTCTAGAGGTTATGATCTTGATAATATTCTATAGGGTGAAGTAATTAGTTGGTCAAGTCATTACCAATAGGTTGGTACTTCGGTTTCGAATCAGGGAAGTCCTAGATTCTGCCTCAACACAAAGATTAATTTGAATAATTGTTTTAATGCGAGGAAAAACATTTTGCTGGCCACAAGCACTAAAATGCGATTCAGTGATTTGAGAAGTATCTTCATGTCATTGAAATGTTTTTGCTTGTTATTCCTTTTCTACTACAGTCACTAACTTCTGATGTATGGGGACTCGGACAAGTTTATGCCACCTGTTTGAGTGATTTATTAACTTTTGATTCGTAGTTCTGATGTACCTTTGCTAAAAACAGATATTTATTATATGAATGTTCCGCAAACAAACCTATGATTCGTTCTATATGGTGTTAGACCTAAGGTTGTGAGGATCCGGATCCTACTTAGGATTGATGGGATGTCTGAAGGATCTGACCGTAAGATCGGATCGAGGATCGTAATATCTTTAAAATATCAACAACAATATATAAATCTTGAATAGCAGTACAGAATTTACCAATTATGAACATTGTGTTACGTTAGAACTTAAAAAGGTGCGACTATAAAGCTCATGTCATCTCTAAACTAGATTTACAGGTGAGTCAATATTTCTATAACCTAGTTAGGCAGATTGCAATGTTAGGTTATGTCAAAATTGGATTGATCAGATACATAAGATAGTATCAATCTTTGATTTTTGTTTGCTTAGGATCGAAACATATAAACATCCCAACAAATTAAGATCCTGCTAAGACCCAGATTGTTTCTTAAGTTTTTAGATGCTAGAATTTTATGAACCATGGCTAAACCAATCACCAGATTTTATTGGATCCGTTTTCATCCTTCACTTAGGACCCTGAAGTGTGTATACCTTGACAAAGCACATTGGAATGCCATATATTACATGTAAATACTAGTATAGGAAACATTTTGAAAGCACGGTCAGTTGTCTGCGATGGCGATAAAGTATTAAATAAGAGTTGCAGATTCTTTCTGCCAATAAGCCCAATTTCTCTCTGCATGATCTTTGATCAGCTAATGGAATATTGTATCCATTCATTCTGTTTAGCATAAAATTGTATTTTTTTCCGGTTTCACTCCTGATTAACGACCTTGACCAAATGGTACTTTGATGAGTTGCATATTTGGTAATGGCAACTTTTGAAATGTCCCTTGTCAATCCTTTCTTGATATTTGGTACATCCTTTTTTAGCTCCCTTATTTATGTCAAGACTGATTCCACTCATCGGCATGACTGATTGTTTTCTTTATTGTCCTTTTTCAGAGCGGACATACACAGCACCACAAAAATGGATGAGGGGAAAGGGGCGTGTAACTATTCAATTTGGTTGCTGTTACAATTATGCAACGGCAAGTTTCTAAGCAACAATAAAGATTTACTTTCTTTTAAAAGAATTTCTAGTGTAGCTACGTGATTGATTGGTGTCGTAATTGATTAATACGGAAAGGCCTAATTATCTGATATTTACTCATTGCAGGATAGAAATGGAAATCCACCAGGAATTCTTCAGAATGAGATGGTTGATCCCTTGCCTCACCTTTTTAAGGTTATTATAAGGAGATTGATTAGGTGGCACGTGTTACCTCCAACGTGCATACCTGACAGTTGCATTGTCAATATCTATGAAGAAGGGGACTGCATACCTCCACACATAGACAACCACGATTTCGTTCGGCCATTCTGCACTGTATCATTTCTTAGCGAGTGTGACATTGTTTTTGGATCAAAGCTGAAGGTTATTGCTGCTGGTGAGTTTGATGGGTCTTATGCAGTTCCCCTTCCAGTGGGGTAAGTATCAAGAGCCTTATCTGTTTTATGCAATTGCAGTTACATTCTACATTATATGCTCCATGCCACCTGCCAAGCAGATTGTTTAGAGTATTTTTCGTTGTTCTCTGGAATCTTAACATCTCCCTTGTCATCCAGATCTGTTCTCGTCCTAAATGGAAATGGGGCTGATGTGGCGAAGCATTGTGTTCCCGCAGTCCCTACAAAGAGGTATAAAAGATTCTGATTTTATCTGGTTGGGATTTCTTGGCTTGATTGTTTTACCCCTTTCGTTCCCTCTTTTCCAGGATTTCCATCACGTTTAGGAAGATGGATGAATCTAAAAGGCCCAAAGATTATGTTCCAGAACCTGACTTGCTGAGAATTCAGCCATTGCAGTATGAAGTGGAAAGATCTAAGAGGTCGAATTCATATAAAACAGACCGATATTCAAGAAGGTATCCGGCTAGGAGAGAGGCTTACAATGGTTCGAGGGGATACACGGAGAGAAATGACCCACGTTCAGAGCCTCACTATTCACTTCAAGTTCACCGAGGGCCTTCAAGTAGACGAAGGGTCAGGGTAAATGTGGACAGCTAATGGCTGCATCTTTGTTAATGCCCTGTTGATTGATGATTGAGTTAATACACATTTGAGAGGAATGGTCCATCGGACCATCATCAATTATATATACACCTCTGGATCTCTGGTTGACATGTGGTTGTTTCGTGGTCTTTCTACTTGGTAAGGTCACTTTTAAGTTCCCATTTTCAGTATGTGAGGATCTAATGGACGCCATCATGTCTCTTTTGCCGTGGTGGTACATGACTTTGAGATTCTCTAGATGGAGATCAAAATGCGGCAAAACATCTGGGTATAAATACATTCGTATATCAGATTGAGTGTGCACATATGCGAGCTGCAATTTTTCTGCAAGTCATGGATGGCGTGGGTCGACATCAGTAGGTATCAGAGTTATGGGAGCTTTTGCAACTCAGCACAGCCTTTTAGCTTGATAGATGATTGCGTAAGATACTTGGAAGCTATGTATTCATTTAGATGTGGAAAGATTTGGTTAAGGATTGTAGTGACTATGACATGATTTCATTTTGAAGTTTTTCCCTGCCTTGTTTGTTATATAAGGGGGTCTGTCTAGTGATTGCTGTATTTGATCGGCTGTACTTTGTCTGATGGATCTCCATACCAAACAGACAGAGGTGATATGTGAACCTGTGTTCTGCTCTTGATGCTTTGTTAAGGTTTTTGTGGCATTGTGGCATGAAGGGACATGACTCGATGAACTTAATGGAAGCAATAGCTCCAACTTTAATGTTTACATTTTAATCTGACGGTGATGATGTTAGGATCTGGGACTGATCTAAAGACACTGCTGCGAGACAGACCTGATGTGGCAATTTTGCCAGATACTCGCTGGCCGTTGAAGATTGTTGCTATGACGGATCTTTGAGATGGTATTGGAGGCTTGAGATTGGACCCTGCTTTCATCTAGTATGTATCCTTGTTAGCCAATCCTAGCAATAGACACGGCGTGTTGAGGTCTGGATATTGCCTGATGGCTCTTTTGGGTTTCAAGAGAGGGTTTGGGGGATCAAACTCTTAAAGATTTGCACTTGTATATTTACCCAGATTGTCTCTGGATATAACTGTACCGTTACTGGCATCTAATGTTGGGGTGCTTTGTTTTGAATGCGCAACTGTGTAGTTTTGATCTGAGCTGGATGAAGTGCGACATAGAAAAAATTGAGTTCTCTCATATTATTGCTTGTACTCGCAGTATGGTCCCAACACTGTTAAATGATTAATGAACTTCACCTCGGATTTGTGGCAGATACCGAACTAGAGAGGGGGAAAAAAAAGAAATTAGGGTATTTCTTATGATTGACCTGTTTCCCTTAGTTTATCTTTAAGTTGCAACTTGATTTCAAAGATATTCTGCACGGGTCTTTACATGCAACCGAGTTCCTATCCCTCAAAGATTACTATGTTTAAGTTACTTTCTGAAAGATTGCTCATTCAATTCCACTTTAATCTCTGCAATTCGTGATCAAACGACCCCAGTAAAGAGATCACGAGCAGAGTACATGTGCCTAGACAGCCGATCTTGCTTCGCAGTGGTTCTTGAGAAAGGCAGACATGCTTTTAACGAGTCTCGAACATGCTGACCAACTCGGTAGAGTTTCTCACATCCACATCCACTTGAGAAACAAGCTCTTCTTTCCTGTGGTCCCTTCCACGCTTAGTCAATAAGGTGCATTCAATGGGTTTGGCGCAGAGGTTGCCTAGTGAAAAGAGTTGGTTGCTTGGTGCTCGTTGTGGGTGTGGTCCAGACAAACTACGTTCACATATTCTCTCTTCTTCTCCGATATTAAAACCTAGTCGATGCTAAAGCCACAGTGCCAAGACAAGATGGTCCACATACTAGGAAATCACCCACCCTACCGCAAACAAGTACAATGTGAAGTGAAGAGAAAACACTTGCCATGACAAAAAGTGATTCTTCCACTGCTTCAGAATCTTCAAAAGCGGGTTTGGTACGTGGGAATGTCTCCATTTCGAGTAAGTTATCTCTTCCTCTCTGCCCACTTTATAATGATGAAAAATGTGCATTGATTGGGGCATTGAAATCATGTACACTACATATGCATCAGAGAAGTCTTTCAAAGACCCAAATCAGAAGAAGGGGAAAAAAGGTGGTGGCCCCCTGGTCTTTGCTTCCTAGAGTGAGCAAAAAAGAAGCGAAGAGGCTAAAAAGGCAAAGCCCAGAGATCTTCAGTAGCAGTCTAGAGAGAGAGAGAGACGGAGAGGGGGAGAGAGAGATATGGAATGATTCTTGATGTGTCCATGGAGATATGGAGGGGAAAATGGCTTCAAGAAGATGATTGCGCGAAAGAAAAGACCGTGCTGGTGGGGTCTGCACGCTAGCTCTCTCTAGAGAGAGGAAGAGAGAGAGAGAGAGAGAGAGAGAGAGAGAGAGAGAGAGAGAGAGAGAGAGAGAGAGAATGACAGACATAGCTTCACACTGGCAAATCAAATTCCTAAAGTTTGATCGAAGATAAAATAGGACTGGGGCTGATAGAACCAGAGACATGTATCATTCCTGATTCTATGGATGAAAATTCTAATGGCACATACAGAAATAAATCCTCATAAGTAACTCATTTTCACCCAAGTCATGTGTCCCATGATGCTTATGATGAATTTCTTCCTCATCGTCATGGGACTTAACGAATGATCGCGTCACCATCAATTTGCACAATAGTTGGATCACATTGTATATATTTTTAATAATCACGATAATAGATCAAGATTTCTAAAAAGTCGTGATAACAATTAATCCATTTATGATGGTTGTGATTAGTAATAACCATGATTGATCCGGCTGAGTGATGAAAGAATCTGCACAAATGAATCCCTCCTTATTCTCGAAGAGAGAGAGAGTTTGTGTGTGGGTGTGTAAATTGCATAATAAGGAAAGGCAAATCTCATGATGGCAGTGTCAAAATCAAACCAAAGAACGCAATCTGCAAAAGTGTTTCTTGGCGAGAGAGAGAGAGAGAGGAGCGGTCAGAATTGTCGAAAAATGGAATTTAGACTGCTGCAGGTTGAAATCAAGGAAGAGACTGAAAAATTCTATGAGCCCGAAACCCAACACAGATGGGGATTAAGCCCTTTTTTTTCTTTCCTGGACGGCCATCATAATACTTGAAGACATTGTAAAAAACAAAAATAATCTTGCTTAGCTTTTTAGACCCAGACTCGTGGGAGCAGTGGCTTGTTTGCCTCACATTGAATGATGAAGCTTTTGCTTCACTCTCCTCGTTCGAATTTACGTAAGCTAGATGTGAGTATCTCCTGGAAACAAGACGCCAAGTACTTTCTTTTGCGTTTGAGAGAATGAGGAAGCGACCATTGTGGCCTAATCTTGCCCTTAGGAACAACGAGCACAAGGAGTGATGAAATGAGCACCACCCTGCGGAAGTTTGGCACGACATTCACAAAGTAAAGTGATGTTCATGTGGCTCAAGGTCGTCTAATAGCTGCATCCTGCCATAGACCAAGAAGAGTTTGCATCTACCCTGCATTGGAGATGTAACACATCTTGTCTTGCTTCCTATCCTACATCTACTGTGGATGTGTTCTTGCAGGCCTTAGACCACTGCTAAATGACTTGCAAAACTAATACTTTTGACGAACCTTTTTAAATGCGAAAAAACCATGTAGGCCGTTCATGTACATGTACTCTAAGAGTGCGTTTATCTTGCAGAAAATGGACAATTTCTGGAAAATGCTTTCTAGGAAATTATTTTACAGGAAAATGAGTTGATTTTTCGGTGTTTGGCTAAAAGTTAAAAAAAAAACATGAAAAGTATTTTCAGCTGTTTAGTGAGGAAAATATGATGGTGAAAATTATCAAAAAATTTTATATTTTTAAAATTATGTAAAATTATTTGTTATTTTTAAATCATTTTTATTAAGAAAAAAAATACACGAATGTTTTCTTTCTCAGAAAGAAAAGAAAAGAAAAGCAAAGAAAAGAAAAAATATTAACAAATTCAAGATGAGCAATTCCAGAAAGTATTTTCGCCTTCTTAGATTAGGGAATTCACTTTTTCCTAAAATTAAACATGATATTTGTGTTGACCGGAAAGTATTTTTCGATAACCAAATCATTTTCGGAGAATTAAACAAATGAAAGTCCGGAAAATACTTTACGGGAAAATACTTTCACTAATACAAACACACCCTAAGAAGAATCGTTTGCACCGTCACATTTTTGACCTGGGACAATATGATGCTAGTGCCGTCTTTCATGTTCTTTTTATACACAGTCTATTTTCTGTTATTTACCGTGCTATAGAGAGTTTTGCCTTTCATTCTCTGGCCTATCTTGTCACTGGTCCTTGGCAGAGAAATTGTTACTCAAGCCACAAGTTCTTGATAAAGAGTAGATAAGGGAGGCAACTTGTACACCCTTGGAACGTTTAGTTGGCGCAGACTTGATTGGGTTTTGTTTTTTTTTGCCAACGCATTGAGTCATCGATTAAGCTATTTGGGTCACCCGTTTTCAAAAACTGGTATATGTAGCTATTCCAACTATCCGCTTGCATCCTTAATATGCGAGGAAAGCCGAAAGCTAAAGTGACCATGGATTTGCTTCATTTTCGTCAGCATTCACAGATGATATATGAAACTGGCCTTTTCTGAAGAAGAGCGGGCTTGCAACAAGATTTGAAGGAAAACTCCTACGTGTTCAAAGCCTTCTGATTGTCATCTATATATCGAAGAGATCATGCAGAAGAAGGTTTGCAGAGCTTATATTGTAACATAGCCATCCTGAAGTACCAGGATTTTTATTAGAAACATCGCCAGTAGGGACGAAATATTTTCACAATAGGGACTGCTTCATCAACTGGATGATAAAGTCAATGTGGGAGAAAATTGTCAAATCAGTCTTAAACCTATTGTACGGCGGCCAATTCAGTCCTAAACCTTTTAATTTTACCAATTCAGTCCTAAACCTTTCTAATTCTTGCCAATTCAGTCCTTCCGGCCAATTTTGACCAGCCGGCGCTGACGTGGCCGCTGGCCGGCGCCGGCCGTCCGGCCAACGCTGACGTGGCAATTTTTTATTTTTTTTTCAATTTTTTAATCTTTTTTTTTTCTTTTTTTTTTTCTGATTTCTTCCTCTGGCCGGTCCGGCGACCGGCGGCCTGCCAGAGGGGAGGGCCGGCGAGGTCGAGCCTCGCCCGGATCCGGCAAGGCGAGGCCCGGCGGCGCGAGGCCGACCTCGCCGTCGCTCGGGCGCGACGGCGAGGTCGAGCCTCGTCGATCTGGGCGAGGCTCGACCTTGCCGTGCGCCCAGGCTACGGCGAGGTCGGCCTCGCCGTTGCGCCCAGCTACGGCGAGGTCGGCCTCGCCGTTGCGCCCAGCTACGGCGAGGTCGGCCTCGCCGCCGCCGGGCCTCACTCGCCCGGCGGCGGCGAGGCCGACCTCGCCGTTGCAAACCGAGCGACGGCAAGGCCGACCTCGCCGTCGCCCGGGTCGCGACGGCGAGGTCGAGCCTCGCCGATCCGGGCGAGGCTCGACCTCGCCGTCGCGAACTGAGCGACGGCGAGGTCGCCGCCTCACCGTCGGCCTCGCCACCGCCGGGCCTCACCTCGCTAGATGACTGGGCGAGGCTCGACCTCGCTTTGCGGCCTCGCCTCGCCCGGCGGCGGCGAGGTCGACCTCGCCGGCCCTCCCCTCTGGCCGGTCGCCGGACCGGCCAGAGGAAGAAATCAGAAAAAAAAAAGAAAAAAAGATTAAAAAATTGAAAAAAAATAATAAAAAATTGCCACGTCAGCGTTGGCTGGACGGCCGGCGCCGGCTGGCGACCACGTCAACGCCGGCCGGCCAAAATTGGTCGGAAGGACTGAATTGACAAGAATTAGAAAGGTTTAGGACTGAATTGGCAAAATTAAAAGGTTTAGGACTGAATTGGCCGCCGTACAATAGGTTTAGGACTGATTTGATAATTTTCCCGTCAATGTGGTATAGCTACCTTCCATGTAGGAGACGGAAATGCAAGATATGGAAACCCTATCTCCCATGATTGTTTGGGTTTTAGTAATTGCACAACTCCTCAATTTGGAAAAGAGAGGAAGACAACTGCATTTTCTATTATTTTCCGATGCCACGACATATAATATTTGAGTATCAACTTCAGTTTTTCTCCTAAGCAAAATAGTTGTTATATTCATAGCCAAATTAGGGCTTGTTTGTCAACCATTTGATTCCGTGCCCGGGAACAATTTCTAAGCATTTGAAGGCGTTTGGTAACTGCCCAAAATTTCTATTCTTTGAATAGAAAATGAACAGAAATGTGTTTGGTAACTGCACAAAATTTCTTTTTATTAATAATATTTTGAATTTTTTTATATTTCTTTTTTTTTTCTTTCCCTTTCCCCTCCTTGGCCATGGCCAGCAAGGGTGTCACGGCCCTCGCCTGTGGCTGGCGAGGGCTGGACCCTTGCCACCTGGGCGAGGGCCGCCCTCACTAGATTTGGCGAGGGCTGGACCCTCGCCGCCGCCCTCACCCAGGCCGCGAGCCGCCCTCGCCCTAGCCGGCCCTGACCTGTGGCCGGTCGCCGTCGGCAGGCCAAGAATGAAGAAGAAGAAGAAACCAAGGAGAAAGAAGAGAACCAAGAAGAAGAAGAAGAAAAACAAAATTTCTTTCCATTTCTGATTCTTGTTCCCATAATCAAGAAGTTACTTTTTTTTGCTTCTTGATTCTATTTCAAAACTCATTCTGGGTATAAATTTTTGCAAATTTGTGCCCGAGAATAAAAAATTTACTAAACGGATTTTTATTCCAAAACTGATTCTGGAAACAAAAGAATAGAAATGGTTACTATTTGGTAACTTGTCAAACGCGCCCTTAGTGAAAAAAGAAATGTACAACCATTGGCAACATGACGATCCAATCAGAACATATAACGGCCCTCTATTGCTCGAAAAACATCATTATGTTAGAATCTCAAATCATGCAACTTTAGGTGGAGCTATTTGATATTTTCCTGTTACTTGTCATTTTTGCCCGCAAATAATTTGTGTATGTATATATATATATATATATATATATATATATATATGTTTCGAAACTAGATTAATGATTCTCTATTTTGCTTAGAATATATATACCCTACTAAAATCATATGGCGAAATTCCTTAGAGAGATGGAGGTCTAACTAAAGAAAGCTGAAGGGAAGTGAACAGCATAAGAACCCTAGCGAGTGGTGGAAGATCATCTTACAGGAATGGGGGAGGGACCAGCCGGGTAAAAGAGCTATAGGCCACATCTCCTCTTCCATACTCCAAAAGTCCCCAATTTACAGTTCTGCCCTCGAGGGCGGGTAGGGCCATAATATAGCTTAAGTACAAGAATATCTTTCTGGCTTCTGGTTCTTCCGGTACTATGGTGTAAAAAATAGGAGACGATCACTAGGGCATGGGTATATGATCTGATCCCATTTACAAGAAAAGAACCTTTCACAAACTCCCTATCTCTCTCTCTCTCAAAAGAGAGAAAACCCACCAAATCATTGCAAAGTTGCCATTCATTCATTCATTCACCCAAAAGCCCCCTCTTGTTCATCCTTCCCTTTCTTCCTTCCCCTCCATATTTATCCCTTTCCATACCTAAAAATCTCTCTCTCTCTCTCTGTCTCTCTCTGATCTGTTTGTTGTGTCTGTGAGAGGACTTGAGTGACTGGGGGATGACTGAGATATATACCTCGTCACGCCTTTCGATCCAAGTAATCCCCCCCTGATGCCCTCCCTTTCCATCCCCTCTTTTGTCCCCTTCCCTTTTATGAAAATCTCTTCCTCTCTCTGAGATCTCTGTCAACTTCAGTCCTTCTCTCCCAGATATCTCTCTGATATCCTCTGTCTCTTCTCTCTCCATGTGCTTGCTTCGCCCTCCATTATAAGTTATAACCCTCAGCCCCTCTCACCACTCTCTTCATGTACTCCCTCACCTACCCACCACACATCCCGTCTCTCTCTCTCCCTCTCCCTCTCCCTCATGGAACCCCAACAACAACGAGAACAGCAACAGCATCAAAACCAAGAAGACATGAACAGCAACACCAACAACAACAGCGGTGGGAAAGGAGGAGGCACAAGCGGCAGCAGCAGCAGTTACGTTTGCAGGCAAAGCAGTACGAGGTGGACGCCGACGACGGACCAGATAAGGATCCTCAAGGACCTCTACTACAACTACGGCGTCCGATCCCCCACCGCCGACCAGATCCAGAGGATCTCTGCCCGCCTCCGCCAGTACGGCAAGATCGAGGGCAAGAACGTCTTCTACTGGTTCCAGAACCACAAGGCCCGCGAGCGCCAGAAGAAGCGCTTCTTCTCCCCCGACCCAAATTCTAATATCAATGGCACTGCCCCTCCTCCACCTACGGCCTCCGCGGTCAACCCCCAGACGAGAGGCGGAGGTCGCGGAAGCGGCAGTTGGAGCGGCAAACTACCTCCTCCTGAAGACCCCTTTGTGCTCCACAACAACAACAAGTACTCTAATCTCACTCCTCCTGGTATGCGTGTATCTTTCCCCATCACTATTCCCTGTTCTTTCGTTTTCTTGGTTTAAAGTTTGGTCTTTTATTGGAGACTATGTAAAGTTTGTAGTTTTACGAGTATTCACGGAGTGGGTATGCATGGCTCCTTTTGTTTTGGTGTCCTACTGTTTCTTGTACTGGTGCGGGTTGTGGCACACTACTTAATGTTTGTCATGATGCTGATGATTTGTTTTGCTGGATCGTTTTCGTTCTTTCGGTCCTGTATCTCTTTCTTCCATCTTCACATCGTTAATGGGTTCGAAACTTTGAATGCTTTGTCAGGGCTTTGTTCTTCTTCAGCTGGTGCTGCTGGTGCAATGGCTGTTGGGCAGATGGGTAGCTATGGATATGGTTCTGTGACGATGGAGAAGAATTTTAGGGTACGTAAAGAAGCATTACTTGATTGGTATGGTAAAATTTTGTTCCTTAAAAAGAGTGCACAACAGCAGTAAGAACAGCTTCCGCCACTATCAATGTATGGAGCGATGTTAATTTTATGAAAGGTATCGAACCAATCTTTGCATGAAGTGGCACTACACACAAGTTGTTGATTTGTCCTTGAAACTCTTTATGCGTGGCCGATCCCAAGATAAAGTGTGATTGAACTTGTTTAAGTCACCTTGAATTTGATTTCCAAGTAAGAATCGATGTGACAATAGTAGACACTGTCTGCGCAATAACAACTCTCATTTCTTCTTCCCCATTCCGAGCAGGATTGCTCCATATCAGCCAGCGGCGGGGGAGGGTACCTTGGCCCGAACCTTGGTTGGATCGCGGTGGACCCATATGCTTCGCCGCCATGTGCTACTTTCTTAGAAAGGAAGAGCCGTCCTTCCCTCGAAAACCAACAGGAGGAAGACGAGGAAGGAGGAGACGCAGAAGATGAAGAAGCTCCGGAGATCGAAACCCTACCGTTGTTCCCGATGCACGGCGACGACCACTTGAACATCGACGATGCCTTGTGCAACATCAAGCCTAACTCGGATCACTACCATCATCACATCCACCGTCAGGGTTACTGGTACGACGACGTTGTCATGAGCACTTCTCGCACTTCCCTCGAGCTTAGCCTCAACTCCTACACCGGCCGATCGCCCGGCCCCATTTAAACGAACCAGAAAAAACAAAAAGAAGGGAAAACTGTGGATTCTCTCTCACCTTTTTCTTGTGATTTTCATAACCCTAATGCTTATATTATAGCTACAGACATAGCTACTGGTATCTGAAATGTGATCATTCACCACCTAGGCTAATTATAACTATTTGCTGCGCCGTTCTTCTTCTTCTTCTTCTTCAGTTGTTTAGTTAATGTTATTCAGTACAGTTGCATCTTGCTCGCACTCTTCTTTGTTTCTGGTTGCGAAAGCTTGTCTGCTCGACACGTGTCGCGCAAAGAACTTAATACTAGTGATTATGTTTGCTTTTAGTGCTGTCCCTTTTCGGCGGACATTTCATAATCATCGGATTAAGTGCATCGGTTTATGGGAAGAATCTAATAATGGCAACGTTAAAAAATGAGAGTTCATATGTGTCGGAAAACAATTGCTGATGACCCAATACCTACCGCTCGCTTGTTGCTTTTTCTTTGCAAAAGTAGCTCTAAAGCAACAAAGTAATTTAAATAATAATAGATAAGTTAGGAACTAAATCGATCATCTCCAAATGACATATATTTTAGTGAATGAGACTTAGAATAGCGCCCCGACATGTCACTATATACTTTGATAACCTAGGGACAAAATCGCTAAGAGACGGGAAAAAAAAAACCCTTGTAAAATTAGGTCTAGTTGCGATTATATATTTTGATAAAGAGTTGAATGGATGATTACTTGATAATTATCATCGGAAATTAGTTTGTATTATGTATGGTGTCAAACTAATTGTGTATGTCATATTTTTATCTTTCAAGATTATTAACTTAGATACAAGTTGAAACATTTAGTTTTAGCTCACTGTGTTCTGTTTTTAATTATCTTCCAAAATGTTATAGACTGGTTATTCCTTTTTTAGGATTAATTTGGTTTGCTAAGTTCCCTAGAAAAGAAGTCATTACGTTGCGAACATCACTAAATAAAGGGCAGTAATTTGGCCTTATTAAAGTACGAAATATATTATCATCGATGGAGTCTGATTTTATACCCCAAAAGACGAGTCTTTATTACTCGCTCCTTATACTCTAATTTTTCTATATTGCTATTGACTTGTTTAACCGGTTCCTTGGAAAAATTAAAATCGGAAAATCCTACTTGGCGGGATTTCCTCAAATCCCACTAGGTGAGATTCCTTAACATAAGAAGAAAGAAAAACCAGCATATAACTCTAAAGCAAATTAAAAACCAAAACATAGATGATCACAAGCAGAAAAATATCTATCACCTGTAGAAAAGAAATTGTTAATTTCATTAGAAAGATCTAATAAATTTCAAAGATGAGAAAACACTTCAATTGTCGACTTTGAGACTAATATCGAAATCATTGTGCATTCAAATGGCTCCTCATTCTTTTCCCTCAAATTAAGTTGCTCTAGAAGGATCTCCAATGACTTAAAATCAAGACCAGTGATATTGATTATACATAGTAACATATGAAAGAAAGAAAAATTTAAAATATGAATAATGACTTAGTAGAGGAAAAAATCATCCCGTTAGTTCGAATCTCATGGATGAAGATGTACAAGGACCCAAAAAAATATATATGTTAAGATTGCATGAGCCAAGGCTAAATTTAGAAAAAAAAATTAATCAAATTCTATATGTGTTAGTCGATTACAAAATCCTAAGATAATTGGAAATTTATACTAGATATTCACTTTTCCTAATTTTTTGAGTTCTTAATCTTGTCTTTTTTTATTTTGGAGCAATATCCACCATTTTTTTTTTATTTTGACCGGAGAACAATGTCCAATTTTTTAAAGGGTTGCAGTTGAATCCTTCATAAATTACCCATTATTTGAATATTATTCACTTAGATTTGTTTTTTTAAATAATCCCACTAATTTTCTAATCCGGTTGCCCCTTAAGCAATAAACCCATTTTTTCCTTTTCAATTTACCGGTTGGCCATTTAAAATTATCTAAGAGTTGTGGTCAGAAGTTCACCATTTCAATTTGAGCATAACAGTGCCATCGTATTAGCTGCCTCCTTGTTCTTATTATCATCTTGTCAATTCCTTTTCATCGAGAAAAAAAACTGACCACAAATACCGAGGTGATATTAACGAGTGTCTTCGAAATACTTATCATTATTTTTTACAATTCAGAGGTACGAGCACAAAGGTCAAGCCACTAATTATCTGATCCCATAAAGCACCTTACAATCCCCATAAGCCAAATAAGTCATAACTTTAAAAGTCAAGTGTCTTAATAACGTAAAATGGTTTAGTTTTTCAATCATTAATTGCACATAACACTAGAAGTGAGCGCCTTAAAATTGTATGATTTTCTTGATTAGGTACTCATGAAACGCTCCGGTTAATGCACAACTTAGTTATGCTATTTGAAAGTTTTAAAAATTGAGTAATTCCGGACTTCTCTAACTTAACCTGCATTCCCTAATATAAGTACATGTTTATGTGATATACTTGATCAAATGCTCCAAAATTTTAAAATTTGATTGCACTTTTACAATCAATTTGAGGATTTCTAATACACTCATCCTAAAAAAAATAAAGTAATTCCGGACCTACGCCAACTTGACAAGCATTCTCCTAATATATATACCTGTCCATATGATGTACCTGATCAAATACTTGGAACATTCAAGACTTTTCAATGCGTGCCACGTTCTTGAATGCAAAACAAAGTTAATCGGACTGGTGACTTGCGTGTATATTTAGACTGAGACTAGACAGCTGCGAACAATATTGTACGTGTCCAAACTCACTCAACTAAACAGTCAAAACAATCAGCTCGTGGATCATCGTGCGGCATGCGCACGTGCGAAATCATCATGCACGCGCCTACATGGAATGAACCACAAATCCATTGCCCATTTCGAATCATATGCTTCACTCAAATCGCAAAAGTAATGCATCCCAATTTCTACAATAAGACACCCTTCTAAGCCGCCCTTGATGTGCTGAGTTTGCCTTGCCCTTCGCATCCTTTCTCTGTTCCACGTCGGTCCAGATTCCAAGTGCTGAACGCAAATATGCTTCTGCAGAGGAGGAGGTCCAATGCAAGCCCCCGTCGCTATTTCACATGGAGAGATTCCTCCCACGCATGTTCGAACAGAGATCATTTTGCCCGAGACGTTTCGGGCTCTTGGAGAATTAAGACACATGGGCGGTACGAGAGACATTGGTGAGCGAAGTTGGAGACGCGAACAGACATTCAACAAACACTGAAAGTCTCCCTTCGTCTTCTTCTTCATCTTCTTACTGTTTTCCTTTGTTCTTTTCTTTCTTCTCTCTTCGGGAAAAGAAAGGTGGAGTAGAAGAACGAAACAGGCTTCTCTTGGTCGTGGAGGTCGACATCAGCAAGATTTTGCAAGGGATGCTGTGCCTTCGATTAGCTTGGACGGTTTTCTCGATTGCTGATCGCACACCCACGACCACCCTCGTTGTCTTTTTAGAGAGAGAGAGAGAGGTAAGTTTGGTGGATCCAAGAAGATCTGGGATGGCTTTTGGAGGGTTCAGGGACGTAATGTCCCTTTGGAGTAACAAGATGAGGCAAGACGTTGCATCATCTTCTTTGCCTTGTTTTGTGAAAGGTACTTACACCAAGCCATCGACTACAAACTCCTCCCATCTCCTCAAATTTTACCCTTTTCTTCTCTGGGGAAGATGCATAAAATGCCATGTCTATAAAAATTAAACGAGATATATCATCGAGTTGCATCTCTATGATTCTTTGGCAAATTGAAATAATCTCATCTTTGTTACGGCGACTATTCTACTCTTCGTCCCCGAGAAACCCATTTTTTTCAATTACGATAGATTTCCGAAAGAACTGATTTTAGAAAAGCCACTGGTAAAAGAAGTGAATGGTGCCACGATTTTCCTGCAATTCGTTGATAACTTGGCGACACATTTATGAAATTACTATCTCTTATTTTGATAGTTTAGAAAAAAATCGATTTCTTTCGTCACTAACTTTTATTTGTCTTTCGTACCAACACTTCATACATACCAACTCTTGAATGAATTTACCAATCTTTATTTGAGTTACTTACCATTTTTTTTATTAAACCAATTAGATTGAATTACTAATTGTCATTTAAATTTCTTATCAACATTAGAGTCTTTTAAATTTACCATTTTTTCTATTAAATTATCAACTATTATTTACTTTGTTTACCACCTCATTGTATTTACCAGACTATTTGTAGAAATCACAAACATTAATTGGAGTGATTACCAACTTTTACCCAACTAAATTACCAAAATTTATATTAACGATTCTTATTGGAGTTAATCATTGACATTAATGTGATATTTTTAAATTACCAACTTCTTTTCTATATAACAAAAAACTTCTTATCTTTCACGAACTTTTATTTACCTTTCTTATTGGCGCCTTAGGTTTACCAACTATAGTATGAAATTATCAACCTTTATTTGAGTGCATGATCACTTTTTTTTTATTAAGTTAAACTAAATTTGGGTTAACAACCCTTATAAGATTTGCTTACCAACATGTATTTGTTTTCTAATATGCCAGCTTTCAATTGAATTATCACTCTTATCGCATTACTTCCCAACTTTTAAATTTACTAACTCTTTTAAGTTTTCTCTGATTAAATTACCATCTTGCGTTACCAATTCCTATTTAAGTTATTTGCCGATGGTTATTTTTTTTAAAATATGGAATTCCCTTATCTCTAATAAAAAATAGCTTATCTTCTCATTTACCAACTTTTGTTTACCTTTCTTACGGTTGGCATAAATTTACCAACTATATTTTGAAGTTATCAACAAGTTTTTGTGTGATTTACAAACGTTTTCTTCAATTATATACCAATTAATATCGAGTTATAAGTTCTCATTCGAGTTGCTCACAAACATTTATTTGTTCTTCTTGAATTTACTTACTTTCTATTCAGTTGGTGCTCTTAATTCCCTTGCTTACCAACTTTATAGATCTATTAATTCTTTTTAGAAATTATCAATCTCGACTAGAGCAATTACCGACTTTTCGGCGATTAACTCTCTAACCGTTCTTACGTTATCAACTCTTATTTAACTTAATTATCGACGTTAATTTGGTACAAGGAAGTGGACAAACTAGGGCAGTAAACAAGTAGATATATTCAGATCAACTAAAGAGGGTCACAGTAAATAAAAATTTACAAATACGAGAAGATCGAGATTGGGATAGGAACGTGGGAACGTGAGCTTAAAAGGAATTCTGCTTTTTCACTATCGAAGGGAGGGAAATTTCTTTGTTATTTTGTTAGTTTGTCAGGTTCTTAAAAAGTTTCAAAAAGGGGCGGCGCAAAAATGATTAATCTGAGAAAACCAACGTAGGATGTGATGAAAACCAAGAGTTTGTCCTGGGAGAGGGGCGAGAGTATCTTTTGCTTGTTTCATCATCTGGAAGCCTGGAAAATAGAGAATGCAACATCAGCATCTTCTTCACTTTTTTGACTGCTGAATTTTTCTTGACGTGCCTCGCATCTTGGACCCAAAAATGACCCCCCCAAGGAAAAAATGACCATAGAAATTGGAGAGAGAGGAAATAAAATCGCACAGAGAAATTGATTTTGCTAGGTAAATTGGGTTCAAGATATATATATATATATATATATATATATATATAAATATATATGGAGGCGATTAGTCGATTGTATAAATTATCACAGCACCCTCTAATCGCTCCACATAACGACCGAATGAAGGCGCAGAGGGTTAGCTGGCGTAGAAATTATGCGGCGAAAAAGTGCGATGATACATCTCTGTATACCGTAAAGCAAATGCCGCCTCGCTTTTGAGGATAGATATCGACCCGGGTCTTTCGACAACACCTCGGGCCAGACGGCGTATTCCAAAATCACGGGAAAAATATGAATTCTAAGACAAGCCCTATAATAGGATCAATATCTCAAATTGGTCATGAACTTCGATCTAGTTTCTCACCATGCTGCGCCAAATTTCATCTCATCTTCTAGAACAGCCAAGTCAATACTTCTTGTAAAGCGGGCTTTAGTGTGTCTACGGGCTCGGGCACAGGTACAGGCCCACTTAGGATCGGAAGGTGCATGCCATCAGTAGGAGCGAACGGGGATCGGGTGGTGGTGGTGGTGTTGGTGGCGGTGGACCGGTAGGTGACCCGGCACGTGATCCGAAGGAAATCTGAGGTTTTTCAATCTAATTCTCTGCTGCTGTTTCTCTGTTCCACCCAGCACGGCCCATTGTTTTCTCGCCCATGTATTTCGGTGAGTATGGTCCGTAGTAATCTGCTAAATATACGATCAATTGACCTTCTAGAAACAGTTGGTATTGGCATGGTAAGCAGACAGCCGTTCCGTTCCTAAGATGACATCGAAATCTTTAATGTCGAGCTGAATAAGATCGGCCGCAAGGTGTCGGCCTGATCAGAGATTTGTCTATGAAAAATACGAATCGAAGTTTGAAGATGGGGAAGGATTCACTGGTGGGATCCGGGCGGTCCGGGGATTGGAACATGAAAACGTAACTGAATTAGTCCTAGTTACTCTTCGGGACTTTGAGCTCATATTGGTTATGAGTTGAGGACGGGAATTGAACTCTATGAGATCCCCTCACAGCCGAGGCACAACGATGCAATTATCAAGGGCACAGCTTAGGTGGGAGGCAAAGAAGGCCTCCTTCTGGGGGGGCCCGAGCCATCAACGAGATATCACTGTAAAAGAATTAGAATTCTAACCTCGTGTCAGGACCTACGGGCCAAGGGATACGGACAGGACATTTCTCATATGCGCGATCTACACTTAGGGACCTTCCAATGAGGGTCGAAACACACGGATGGACATCCAAAAAGGTGTTATAGCTAATCAAACGAAAAATGACTGAATGGGTCTTAGCGAGCATCAAATTAGCATGCGCATATTCATGTTGATATCTTCTTCTATGGCCATTGCTCTCTCCAACACATTGCGGTAACTCTTCGACGTCGAAAGTTGACGACCAGGGTCGGATGTCGAATCGCAGCCCGTTCTCAAAATTGTCAGACTTGGTGCTCATCTAAATCGAGAGGCTAATCCGCCCAAATGATCGGAGAGGGCAGCATACTCCCGTCATCGACTCACGGTTCTTTCAACCCTGAAAAGATTCTCGATCTTCGGTCACATACGAGTATCTCGGTACGAAATTAGGACGCGACATGGTTGGTCCTTCTCGATTAAATCTATAGAATTCTCGCTCTTTTTGCTGAAATCCTCGAGTCGAGCTTGAGCTAGAGACGATTCAATGGGCGATCTAACGTGTGTCCAGACTCCTACGATTAGAGAATAGTTAGGCGACCCCGTTTGAAGGGAAGATCTTTATGTGGTCATAGAAGGGAAGATGAATAGGAGGTGGATGTCGCGTGCGCTTTCGCTTTCGCTGCAACACTCGCCCGTATGCTTCCCAATCTCACGTGCTTTGCTAATCCTAAGATTTTTCTTAGGATTGTCTTGGATTTTGGGTAGTTCTGGGGCCATGCGTTAGGACATCTGCTTTCTTTCTAATGTGACATGTTGGGAATACGCAAGATCCGACGGTTCAATAATCTACATTAGAGTCCCCGACCCGTCGATAATCCCCAACGGAATACACCACATCCGATGCCCACCGAAAATACGAAGCATCGAACCAATCGAGATTCCTCACTCGAGAAATTGTTCCGACACATTATACACAATGGAGGGCCCATCGAATTAACTATCTAATTCGATACCACTCTCCCTACCACATCAGCAGGAGTCATCGCAGCAAGAAGGGAAGGGGATTTGATTCAAATGATCACGAAGAGATCTTTACCAACTGAGCTAAGATTAACCCTCTTCTATCATGGATTATGCTATTGTCATCTTGAAAGCATTACCTCCCCAATGGTACATAACCCATTCTTGCCACGAAAAGAGATTTGTGCCATGTTAGCCCTTTCTCCCATAAATCAAACCTTATCGCAATCAATTTAGATTATTAGTCAGCTTCTAAAAATCACAAGTACCTATATCGGCCGCGCTTAATGTCGATCCATAGACGAAAACAAGGTACCTAGCCTAAAAATCGACCCGAAAAGTACACTAAACAAGCGGTCGGCGACCGCTTGCCGGCGTAATCGTTAGGGGCGGTCCGAAAGTACTAGGCCCGAGAATGTTCTTAATGTCTACCGAAAAAAAATAATTAAATGGATCGATCCCCACCTACGCTTCACGAAGGAGGTCCACAAGTTCATATGAGCGACCTTGGGATCGGGTAGTTGGGACGAGCGGCACGAGCCCGCGCTGCGGGTAGTTGGAGCTGCCTCCTCTCCTCCTTCACGCACTCTACCTCATCCACCATCATATAAACCCCCCTTCAAACACCTCAACACAGCACTCAAACACGCACAGAAAGAATCCACAGAGCTTCACAACACGAGTGTTGTTAAGGAGTGAGACCACGCTTGATTCAGCCGAGGACCCGCTCCCGAGATGGCGAAGACGCTCACGGCGCTGGCGGGGGAGAAGACCCTCCAGTCCAAGTTCGTCCGCGATGAGGACGAGCGCCCCACGGTGGCCTACAACCAGTTCAGCGACGAGATCCCCGTGATATCCCTGGCGGGGATCGACGAGGTCGGCGGCCGGAGGGAGGAGATTTGCAGGAAGATCGTGGAGGCGTGCGAGGACTGGGGTGTCTTCCAGGTGGTTGACCATGGGGTCAACGCGGGGCTCATCGCCGACATGACCCGGCTCGCGCGTGAGTTCTTCGCGCTGCCTCCGGAGGAGAAGCTCCGGTTCGACATGTCCGGCGGGAAGAAAGGGGGGTTCATCGTCTCGAGCCATCTCCAAGTAATTACTCTTGTTTCTTTACTCCCAGTCCTTTTAACTCCAAATTGGTATAGAATTCTAGGTTTCTGTTATTGACTTTGCTATTGTGATGTGAGCCCATGATATGTTAAATTACTGAATCGGTATTTGAGAAGACTATAGAAATAATGAAGCAATTCACTACGCTTCACTTCACAGACTATAATTTACTTAAATTTTTTTCACACAGAGTGATCGACCATAGGAAAGTTACTGTTATTTATAACTATGTTTTACTGCCAATCATTTATGCATTTCCACCGTAGAATGGTACTGGAGAAACTCCCGTATGCATAATGACGAGTTGTTCACTAGTTGGTTGGGACCACTTATGTGGTTTTTACTTTTCGTAACTCCATAATCGCAAAGGACAAATGTGTTGCGTAGGCAACACAAATGACACACAAATGACTCCATAGTTTATGTGATAAACCAAATCAATCAACAATCTAAGATATAATGTAAATTCGAGTCTCTTGAGGGAATTCGGTGCGAGTTTCATGATACACAAATGACTTGACGTTATGGAATTCATATAGAAAAGTCGTACCTTGACACGTCTCATCAAGTGGTGACAATGACGCGTCCCTTTGAATTTCTAGGAATGGTAGGAATCAAAAGTAACCTCTGGAACAAGAAACATTATTGCTTTGTTGTTTTCCGGCTTTGACCACCCATCTAGTGAACTCAATCGACACTGGAATGACTCGTGGCCAGGGTGAAGCCGTCCAGGACTGGCGCGAGATAGTGACGTACTTCTCATACCCGGTCCGAAACCGAGACTACTCCCGATGGCCCGACAAGCCGGAGGGATGGAAGTCGGCGACGCAGCAGTACAGCGAGAAGCTCATGGGCCTCGCTTGCAAGCTCCTGGAGGTCCTCTCGGAGGCAATGGGATTGGAGAAGGAGGCGCTGACCAAGGCGTGTGTGGACATGGACCAGAAGGTGGTGGTCAACTACTACCCCAAATGCCCGCAGCCCGACCTCACGCTCGGGCTCAAGCGCCACACCGACCCGGGAACCATCACCCTCTTGCTCCAGGACCAGGTGGGTGGCCTCCAGGCCACCAGAGACGGTGGCAAGAACTGGATCACCGTCCAGCCCGTGGAAGGGGCTTTCGTGGTCAACCTAGGCGATCACGGTCATGTGAGTATCTATATCTATCTGTCTATCTTAGAACTTGCCATATAGTGATTTAAGTAACATTCATTCTTAAACCCAACCCACCTCTCCCCTGAAAGAAAGAAACAAAAACCGCTTTGCGGGGAAAAAAAGAAGAAGCGTTCTTAGAGGGCTTTTATCAAACAGGTGGCGCGCTTCCATATTTGAAAACTCCCACTCCATGAAAAATGTCAGCACTTGCTCTGTTTTTTCGCCAGAAATGCTAATACGTGATGAAAAATTTCTAAACTCAATCAATCTCGCTGTTAAAGAAAGAATAAAGACGCTCGAAAGAAGAAACAGAAATCTCGTAGGGACTTTTATCAAACACGTCGCGCGCGCGTACCATATCCTGCCCCACCGCTGACCGAAACCTTGCGACGCAGTTCCTGAGCAACGGGAGGTTCAAGAACGCGGACCACCAGGCGGTGGTGAACTCCAACTACAGCCGCCTCTCCATAGCGACGTTCCAGAACCCGGCGCCGGACGCCGTGGTGTACCCGCTGAAGGTGAGGGAGGGGGAGGAGTGCATCATGCCGGAGCCCATCACCTTCGCGGATATGTACAGGAGGAAGATGAGCAAGGACCTGGAGCTGGCCCGGCTGAAGAAGCTGGCCAGGGAGGAGCAGCAGCAGCAGGCCAAGGACGTGGAGAAGGCCAAGCTGGAGGCCAAGCCATTGGAGCAGATCCTCGCTTGATGAAAGTTCCAATCTCCAATCTTTCCGTTTACGTTCTTTTTGCATTAGCACCACACCCTCACCACTGTTGGTCCCATTTACCAAAGAGTCTCGTGAATCCATGGTTTGTTCCAGTGGCGTCCTATGTATCCATCGGCGATGGGCGAGTACAATAACATCATCGGTCCTTTGTTTCTTAGTGTAACGAATGATTTTCACAATGATACATAGTCTTGTTTCGATTCAGATACAAATGGTGGTGATGATTGAGTTTGAGCTCGAGATCGGGCGTAGGTAGCGCCGGACCAAGCTGGGACCGGTCGCGGTGGTCCCGTCAAGGATTTCAAGCCCGACCGAAGCTTTTTCGTACCACGTTTGATGCAAATGATGTGTCGGACCTTTAACAGGTTTTAGCAAAGTTAGCGATTTTTTATAAGATTGAAAAAGAAAAAAGTTTGGATTGGAATTGTAACCCCGCCTAAAATTATTGCTTTTTTAAGGAAATTGGTATAAGTACCATGCAGGTAAATAATAGACCGCGACTACGAGTGCATATTTCACGAGAAAGATGCCAAAACCTTTACGCAATTCTATCGTTGTATTTTCGTGCAGGACGTGTTTGGATCAATTTTTTGCTTTTTACCTTTTTACCGAATCTAAATCTCGAATTGCACGCACTTTTGGAGTTTTAAATTTCTTTTCGAGATGAAACGCTCGAAACTTTTCATAACATATACTTGTTGACAAGTAGCTACATACATGAATTTGTTTCGTACTTACCGAAAAATAAAAAAAAAGATTACTTTTTACTTATCTTTTGCATAAAAGCAAACAAGCCCTTAATCGCCTTTAAAAAAAACATGAGACCAAAAGCACAATTTGTTTATTTATTATTTTTTGGACTAGAAAAGCACAATTTATAATCGTGGGAATTTTGACGAATTTCTTATGGGCCAGTACCAACCTTATGGGCCTAAATCGTGCTTTGGGCTGACAGGAAAAATCCCTTGGAATCCGCAAGATGTTTGAACATAAAGCTCTCTCGTTCTGTCAAATATTTGATTCGTTTCCCAAACCAATTTCAATCATTAGCCATTTCTCCATTTTGACCACCGGTTCCGTACATCGGGATTGTCACATGGCATGATCGTATCGGCTAAAAATCTCGGTCCTCTCCTTATAAAAACACTTCATTGATCCTCTCGTTTCGGGGACTTCGGGTCTCCGGACGTCTAGACTTTGACATCTTTAGACTCAACGAATTCGGTGTAGAAATCACAAACATTAAAATGTAGGATGATTGCTAGGTGTAGGGATGGTCAGTTCCTGAGCAGGCCAGCCCACCAAGAATCGGAATAGACCCACCTAGAATCCATGAATTCGGTGGCGAATCAACGAGAAACCTTAGCGAGTCAACAACACTCAAATGCTACCCGGCATTCCAATCCATTGGAAATTGCCCACTCCTCCCCTCACGCGCCCTCTTTACTTCATTCCACTTCAATCCTATTCTCGAGGAGCAATGAACCTATGGCATATTTTATTTTATTTTTAAGCATGTAGTCCATAATCCATTGAGAAGGGTGTTAAACCCTTCGTGGGAATTCGTATGGGTTAATAGAAAAGATAACTAACAAAGTTGAAAGAAGAGAAATCTTTTAGCTTCATTATTTAAGGATAATGCAGGAAATTGCATTATCATGCTGCTAAATTGAATAGAACACCTCCAATGATTTAATGTGGAAATGAAAGGGGCATATAGGAGGATAACAAAGGGACATCATGGCGAGTCGCCATTTTAGAAAAGAAATGACCCAAATTTATGCAACAATCTCAAACATTGATAGCAGGAGCCCATTTGTCAACGGTGTTGAAGTAGAGATCAGAAGCAAGCGTCCAAGAGACAGTAGCAACAAAGAGCGGCCAAACTGCAAAAAAACAGAGCATTGGATAATCATCTCGGTGAGATGCGATTGCGATCACGATCGGCCAAAAACAAAGCAAGAGAGAGAGGCGAGAGTCGAGCAAGAGGGACGCGAGTGACTCGAGCGAGAGGGTGGCGTCTGAGAGTCGAGCGAGAAAGTGATTGAGATTAGTTTTTTTTTTTTTTTTTTTCAGATTTGTGAAAGAGGGAGCATGAGTCATGCGTGCCAGAGAGCAACTGAGGGTTTGTGCCATGAAGAATTATGGCTTTTTAGTTTTTACAGATTTGTAAGAAATTTTAAAAAAAATATTGATCCGATCTGGGTAGGCGATTCCACACATTGAATTGGGAATCGGACCAAAAATCACTAATTCCAAAAAATTGGAAATCCAAAAGGACCAGTGCTCTCAGGAACCACCTAGAACCAGCCGATTCGATCCGATCCGGGTAGTTCTTTTTGCTCACTCCTGGCTAGGTGGAGGAGAGTTTGAAAAGCTTGTGGGGATTGAGAAAGAGGTCCAAAGTTCAGCCAAGGGTTCCTTTTGGAACCCTCGCTCCTGTACCTAAGGCTGAATATAGGCATGGACAGCAATCTAATTAACAATAAAATTTTCGACCAAAACAAAAAAACAATTTGACTAAAAAAGATTAGAGGATGATTCTCAAAAGAAAGAGACCCCCATAAGGATGGAGCAGGTCAATTTTCTCACCTTTTTTTTTTCTTTAAGATGAAAATGAAGGCCCAAAAAAGCACAAAATCTTTTTCCCTACCAACAACGCGATAAAGATAGACCAACCACGGAAAGGCACACGCGTCACTAACAATTTCAGCAACATCTAAAGATGCAAAGCGTGTCCCAACTTCTTCTCCACCTAATGAACAAAAATTCAAGTATGATACATAATATGATCGTGCGGATTATAATAATCATAACAATAATAATAATAATTATTATTATTAAAAAAAAGAGAGGTTGTGGCTCTAGAGACTCGACCATCGTTCACACCCACTTTCTTATTTCTTTTGCAATGATTGAAAATGTGACGTGCATGTATAGAAGAAGAAGAAGAAGAAGAAGAAGATAGATGTGCAATAGTTAAAAGGCCGGTGTGAATGGCTGGCCCTTTCTTAGTATGGTCTTGTCATCATATTTGGTCCACCCATATTCAATCATTTCCTCCTTTCTTTCTTTCTTTCTTTCTTTCTTTCTTTCTTTCTTTCTTCTTCTTGTTTTTTTTTTTTTTGAGGGTATCATCAAGGGAGGACAACTCCACCATCATTCAATCGAAATCTCGTTTGATAATCTAGTAATTGTCGCACTCAAATCAGCACGGTGTAGAGGATTTTGTTTGCACTGTGATTGTCCCGTTCCACCGTGAATGTGTTTTGCGTTGCTGAACTCGCGACGTCTCGATGATATTTTAATCGGAAGAAATTTCCGTGATATCCTAAGCGAATTGCTTTGGATGTAATTTAGGGGCTTTTTGTGAAAATGGAAGAGGAGTTTAGCTTTGTAGTAATTGGAAATGAGGCCGAACATAGGATAGCTATATTACGTTTCCCTTTAAGGGCACGTCTATTTCAATGAAAAACTTCATAATGAAAGAAAATATTATTTTACGAAAATCATTTTCAAGAAAAAAAAATAATTAGTTTTTATTTATCTGGTGGTTTAGGATAAGTGATTTTATTCTTGCCAGAATGGGAAATTGTTTTTCCTCAATCTAAACTTCTTGTTTTCGGTTTATGGAAAACATTTTCCGTAGATCGATTAATTTTCTGTCATCCACACCGAAAATTTGGATTTTCCTTCAAACGAACGGACCTTAAAGTTGCCTTTGGAACTCCAAATTATATATTTCGAAGTCTTGGCAATTAGAGTTTTCATCTCAGACATCAGGATCTCCCCGCACGTGAGCTTCTTTCCTATCTTTAGGGCGTGTTTGTTTCACGTATTCGTGATAAAGGAAAAATTCGAAGAAAGTAGTTACTTTTCATTTTTTCGGATGGCCCGCTAAAAAAGCGTGATCGAAAACGTTTTTCAACTATTTGAATTTCGTTCGAAATGATGGGAATTGAACAAGGTGAAAGCGAACGCTTGTTAAGAGACTTGTTATGCTCGGAAAAATGATTTCCTCTATTTACAAACGGGAACCCGTTTTCTTAATTTCAAGTTGTGGGTGTCTTTTCTTACCATAAATATTTTCTCGTCGATTAACCATCTTCAGCGAAACAGATACGTGAAAGTTCGAAAGACTAATTCACGAAAAGCTTCTTTTATCGAAAAAAAAGACAGAGGAGACAATTCATGGTGTGGCCCGCGATCTCGACATGGACGATATTTCTTTGGGCGGGCCACAAGCAGCCTCCATGAATATTTTCTATACGTCGTCCATTGCACGATTTTAGTGTTTCGTCCTTTGCGATAAAGTGATAAAATCAAATCCCTATTTCGAATTCTTATTCTTGGAATGGCCAATCACTTGGACCGACATGCACGTGTTTTTTTGAATGTCCCGATTATGGGCTTTCGAGACATAACAAGATCCTAGGTACGGATGCCGCTTGTAAGAGCAGCGGAGGAGAAATTGTCCAATCGGTCGTGATGTCAATTCAGCCCTAAACTTTCTCACTTTTGACAATTCAGTCCTAAACGTTTACAATATAGTCATTCCGGTCAATTTTCGCCGGAAATCGCTGACATAGCGATGTGCTACGTAGGACAGCCGGTAATGACTGGACTGCCGCATTAGCGATTCGACCAAAAAAAGGACTATATTGGAATCTCGCGTAAGATTTATTACTAAATCGGCAAAATTGAGGCATTCGTACGATAAAATTAGGATTGATCGGGTAATTTTCCCCGACACGTTGCTCACCCTCCAAGTCTCAAAAGTCCGAAACCACGTACAAATGTGAAGCTTGGTGGAAATGCTTGCGGTCAAGGTGGGGGGCCGCCTCTCGGGTCCTTCGGAGTCATGGAGGTAGAAAATTTCTCCCACGGTCCAATTGTTTCTGAATCAAAACGTGCATCATGACGACATTTCCGCTCCGTCAAACCACGTGCACTTTTTCTTGTTGCACAAGAAAAGGAAACCACGTGCACGCTTTGCTTCTCAGGTAGCGGTCGGCGACAATCGAGTTCTCCATTTGAAATGCTAAAGTTCGAGTGAATCTCGTGAGACCTAAGCCTTAGCTAGCAAGAAAATCGAACGTAGATTCACCCTACATTAAGATTATCGTCGGTCATGCGCATGAGTTGCAATGTCGGGGGCGGAAACGTAACTATGTCGGCGTATAGGCATCGCTCGTAGATACTTCTACTAAGT